GGGCAGCTGCATGTCTTCAGAGCAACACAGCTGTCAGGATGATCAGCACAGCTTTCTGCCTCTGCTGCTTATCAGGGTTGAAAGTTTCCCACTACCTCAGAGCCTGCAAAGCAGAGACTACCATAGTATCACCCTGTCTGTGTAGATAAAGGAACAGTTCTGGGCACGTAATATCTGGAGTGTCTGCGAGTATGACACAATTTACAGAAGTCCTTCGCTGGAAAGCTGTGGAGATGTAAACCAAGGGCTGTGTTTAATAACAAAACTAAATCTTCCCTGTGGAAAGGTTAGAAAAATCCCTGTATTTTCACAACGCTGAGAGCAGAGGTCTACTACTGTTACAGTGATAACATCTATGCCAGGGCAGCTGAAGACAGATGGTCATTACATTAATGAGGAGGAAAGCAGCCCTATCCGCATGCTGACACTACTAGAGAAAGTTTCATTTTTAGGTACAATGTTGCCTAGGTGGCCATTCAGCTGTCTGTGCTGTGCAGCCAGCATCCTGTGCTTTGTGCAGTGAGTGGCTAGAAGTGTAATTAAAATAAGTCAGGGCATGAGCTTGAGCACTGTGTTGGTACTGTCCAGATTTTTATATTGTTAGCACAGACTCTGGTCTGCTTTCAGTGTGTGCATGTTAGTATTCTCCCAGATAGTGGCCAGGAATGGTCTGGGGAATAGCCTGGGCCAAAGACCTTTCCCAAAAGACAGTTTGGATATGGCCATCCTGGTTCAGTGGGCAGGAGGGTTTCATCTGATGATGGGTGAGCTGTGCTGTGCCATGTAGCCTCAAGGCCAGATCACAGTTCCTGGCTCACTTTATTTTCTTGCACAAACATAATCACTGATACCAATGAAAAAGACTTAGGATTATTGTTTTGTCAAGTACTAATTCTGATTTTCTTCTCAGGAGGGAAGATGCAGCTTTTTTTTTTCCCTGTCAGATAAGTTTGAAAACCAGGTCAATGGTAAAATCTTTATTAGAAGCAAAGCTTTAGCCACACATAAGTCACACTTTACACACTGCTTTTTACATAAAAATGTGTGAAGAAGAGGCAGAAGACTGAACCATCTGGTACAGCAGGACTGGTGTGCCATTTGTCTCTGCACAAGGAACAATTAAGTAAATTAGAGTTCCTTCCACAGGATGGTTAAAACATAAGGCTGAGGGAGGGAATACGGCAGAGGTCTGTAAAATAGCAGTGGACTATAAAAGAATTGTTTACTGTCTCTCCAGTATAAGAACTAAGGCACATCCAAAGAAACTGTCCATTGGAACGTTCAAGACTTGGATGGGGTGCAGTGAAAAGAATTACTTCTTCACAAAACAAGGCTATGGGGCCCCTTGACACAGGTTGCTGTGGGTACCAAAAGTTCACACGAGTTCTACAACTGATTGGTCTAATTCCTGGAAGAAAAGTTTGTCAAGGGCTACTAAATTTGAAGGTGGCACCTCTGACTCAGGGACACCTTGCTTATCCAGTTGGCTAGAGCTGGGTGAATATTCTGGGAAATATCACAGCAACTGTACAATTCCCTGGGTATCTGTGTTGGCCGCTGCTGAAGACATGCTACAATGCTAGACAGATCTTTCCTCCGTTTCAGTACGGCTGTATTATGTTGTTCCCTGCCTGCTCTTCTACCTCACCATTAAACCTGGCCGTGATCAGTTTTCTCCCACGTTTTTTATACAACTGGCATCCTGGGGTAGAAGAGAGTCTTCCTCTGCCTTTGCTAAATAAGACCAGGAAGCAGGAGGTGGTGTCTCTCCCTTTGCTGGCCAGGAATTGCAAGAAGAGGAGGAAGCAGAAACCACTCCTCCATCCACAGGAAAGCTGGGGGATTTGAACAGCACGGAGTATTGGGCAGCCTTTGTCTGCCCCCTATTTCCTTCTCTGTTCCTGAGCTTATATGGGCATTTGGATGAGGAGAGGAAGATACCACTTACTGTATCAAATGGCTGCTCTTTCCCACAAGACTAATAGGTAGATCTCAGCCTGAATTGAACTCACAGCAAGAGAGGATTTAACCTTTGTCCAACAGGAGAAAAATTTGACTGTGTTTCACCCTCACTTTTTAGGAACTGTATTCCCCAACCTGTAACTCAGTCTAAGAGCGCTGGTTGTGGGGCTCAATACAGCGAGCCCAGGATGAAGCTCAGGGGTCTGTGATAAGAAGCCACACAAGCAGGTGGTCTCTTCTGGCCTCCAAGTCTGTGACCTGCTCCAAGAACAATAATAAATTGTCTGATTTAAAGAATAAGGTCCAAAACTCTAAAAGCTCTGAAAATGCTACACAATGCATTAAAAATGAAATGGCAGAGTAACTCCCATCTCTCAGCCTCTCATTTCCTAGCAGGGATATGCCTGCCTCATGAACAATGTTAGGCGCAAGGGTTTGAGTAAATTGTACAAGCACAGCTACAATTATATGAGTCCTCACAAATTGGTGTCAGTCCGGAACTTCTTGCAAGCGTGATCCCGTTTTGAGCCCATTCGTCTTCAGACAACACTTGGAAGTCTAGCCATGGAAGAACTAATTGCTTGGAGAATCTCACTGCAGACTGTGGCAATACATGGTTGTACCTGCAGCCAGACATTACAGCTGGGTCTTACTTCCCCGCCTATGGGAACTGAATTCCTCAGAGTGATGAGTCAGCATAATTTAGTTTTATTAATATTTTTTTTAAAATAAAATGGCTGATTTTATAATGTGGACATTAAAAAGCTTAAAAGAAAATTGAGATTTTTTTCTAATATTTCACAACCCTCTTTGAATCAGAGTCACAACCAGTACTTTGGGAAGCACTGAATTAAAGGTTATTTTTCTAGACCTTCTATAGTCAGCAAATACTCTGCCTCTCAGCTGACATCTAAAATAAAACTTCCTTCCTGTTTCTTCCAAGTTCAGTCCCTTGTTTCTTCCTTGTACAAGGGTTGCCCTTCAGAATTTCCGTCAGGAGGTTAAGAAGGAAAGCTTTTTGATACAAGAAGGATTACTTACTTCATTGCCTAGTGTGTTTTTCCTGGAGGTGCATTTCCCCATATTATTTCCTTTCTTTTTTTTCCTTTTTCCCATAGGAAGGCGTTCTATTTTTGTGCTAACACTGTGCCATGGTTGTGCTATTTTTACAGCTCTGTTTTGGTGCTTCAAGTCTTTGTGAATTAAGGAAGAGGTGGTTGTCTGACAGTAAAGTTTTTTTCTTCTGTCATCTTCTGACAGATTCTCACCAGTACTGCTCATCCAGATATTCAACTGAGGGATGGAGGGAAAAGCTAGTTACAGTACATGCAGGTTGTTGGGGTTTTTTTGCTAAAGTAATTCATGTCATAAATCTAAACCACCTAACACACAGTGAGCTGATATCACAATGTGAAATTCTGCAAGTAGGATGCAGAGTGGAGCCAACAATGACAAGTAGAACAACACCAAGAAATCTCACAACTGAATGGACTATAGCAGTTCCTCAGTAACCCCTTAGAAAGATTGAGACGCATCACTCAAACTTTTCACAAATTAGTTTAAAAGATGCTCCATATAAAGTATGCTAATACACTAGTTAAGACTTCTACTCTTCTTTCTTCCCCATGTGACTTAAAGAAGACCTGAAAGAATCTCTCCCTTCCCTCTATCTTTTCAATCTTAGAAATGTCAGGAATGCAATATGCTGTTTTCTTTGGTTTTGCTGGGGGGGCCTTGTGGCTGCTTTAGGAAATGTTTAAATGCTGAAACTTTAATAAAGAGCTCCCTTGTCCAAAAGAACCTCATTAGTCATGGACAATGAAAGACTATTAATAGCAAGATAAACAATATGCTAACAAAAAGTCAGAACAGTGTTTAAAACCCCTTTGTTTTCTCAAATGCTAAAGATCCTCTCACTTTAGTCTTGTGATAGCCTCACTTTATTACTCTGCAGCCAGCTTTTCTGTTTGTAAACCCGTAATTTCTATTGTAAACACCCCTTCCCGGAAACTCTCTTCTGCTTTTGAAAAAAAGACACCTCGTTCATGGTTTTTACAATCCATCACAAAAAGATAAAAGAGATGTTGGTTTTGTCCCTTTGAAAATCACAAGTTTTAAGAACACTAGCCTTGAAATAACCCAGGCTAACTGAAGTGATTTCATAGTTAGGGAAGTAAAGACTATTAGCATGTTACTATACATGAACCTTTCACAATAACAAAATATGATGTTTTACTGCACACCCCTGCTAAGACTTCTGAATTGGGATGAAAAGAAACAGAACAGATCTGCTTCTAGAGGAAAGAGAGAGTAAATACAAGCACATTTAAAATAGCTCCAACATTCAGACTACTTATGATGCTATGAACATGCCTCTTAAAAAAAAAAAATATGTATCTACCCAGCGAAACTCAACTAAAGTTACAAACTTGATAAATCTGAATGCATGTCAGGTAAACTAGCAAGGAAGAATCGAAGCTAACCTTAAAAGAGTCCACATAGCAGAATGAAAACATAAAAGGGATGGAAAAGCCCAAACAAAATATCTGCCTTCAAGCAATGTCTTTGCATTCTGTTATTTTGTAATGTAATCGAAGCCATTAAGAACCTATATATAGCTCCATGTCTGTTTGGATGGCAAAAAACAACTTAGCAACACAACCAAGACAACTCCTTCTTCTACAACACAACATGGTTTTAATTAAGAAAGAATGCCAGGATGAAGGAGACCTTACAAGTTCAATAAGCTGAGCGCATTCAGTTTTTGGAAGTAGGGGGAAAGGGTTAAGCTTTTTATTGTAAACTTCACGTTTTATGTTAATGTAGCTATTTAAGCCCTTTCTTGCCTTTCTGATCATGTCTTTTGACAGGAAAGGGAGTATTTGTTTTGTCTGATTTTAACTCTCAGGAAAGCTAGCTAGAACTATCCAAAAATGTCTATTCTGTATTCTGACCTCTGCCTTTCAAAAGGAGCAGTTTAGGCATGATGCATTTTCCAGAGAATGGAAGTCTGAAATTCCCTAATGGAAAAATCTTACCTGGGTAATCATTCTTGTCTACATCTGAGTCTCCTCTTAGAGTGAAGCCAAATCCCGAAGGCATGGACTGTGAGGCCCACGCTCCATTGAGGACCTGGGAAGGGTTAGTATTTAACCCATTACTATGTCCATTGTAAATGAGCACTTTCCCTCTTCTGTCTTCTCCTGCAAATGGTGCACCTATAGCAATGTCTGCAGTGCAATAAAAGAACAAAAAGAATGGTCACAATTAAAATAAAACAAAAATTAAGTCCCTGCAGGAAAACAGACATAAATGGCTTCTGCTACGTACATGCAAGAACTTCAATGTTCTGTACTTCTGTATGGATTCTAGTTTTAAGGCAAATAAATACACAAAAATGTTTGTAGTGTCTTTTCTGTGCCAAACTTTTCTGACAAAAGCTTATAAAATCATCCTATGAAGGGGTTATTGCATCGTATTATATAGCCAGTCCACAGTGGATTCCTCTACCATATTTCCAGGGCATTTAATAAGCTTTAATAAACCAAGATCTAATGAATGCTTCTACTTCCATATTTTTAAACATATTTAAACATATTTTAAACATATTTTTTTCCTTGATTTCCTCTATCACCTAATTAATAAGGAACAGTTGTTGGATAAAATTAATTTTATTTTTCCAGATAAAATATTCAACATATAGACAAAAAAACTCTACCCCCCTCAAACATCCAGTGCTTTAGCATACAAAAGACAACAATGGAATATAACGTTTTCATCTACACCAAGCCAACATCTTATTGAGAAATGGGAATAGTACCGGGTCAGGAATTTAACAGAAGGCCTTGGGCATTATGCAATTAAGCACTGCAATCCTTAAAAAAATGAGGTGCCATATCCAAGAAGCAGAACTCACAATGCTCTTCTTAATTCCTATGCATGGGATGCGGACAGAATCATGTCTAGATTGAGATTCAACAGCTGTACTAGCTGAGCTTGCCAATAGGAAACACTAGAGGAGGATACATATCTACAGCTCTCATTTTTAGGTTCTTATTTAGGACCTAGTGCTGGACTCCTTTATTACATTTCACGTCAGCACCTGGAAGTTGTACCTTCACTGTAAAGGCAGGAGTGCACCAAAGCTCTATGACTGGCATGTTCAGTTATGAAGCAGAAGACTTTGACTCTAAATCCTTCTTAGCCTTCTCTACACAGTGAGAGAGAAAAGAAGGAATGTCTGTCTCCTCCCTGCCTTACCAGAATGCTGGAGAGCAGGGATACAAACCGTCCCTGCCCAGAGAAGCTGGGGCATCTGCTATTGCTCACAGGTAGAAAACAGGAAGTCTCCACTGTGGGGTCCAGCTGAGCTGAACTCTGTGGTGGGATTCCAGGACAACCCAGTGAGGGTATTCTCAGCAGTCACAATCCAATGGCTTCTACCCACAGGATAGTATTTGGATTTTGTGCACCCTGAACCCCAACACAATTCTATGGCTCCTGACATGACTTATCCCTTGCACAGAAGCCACACATTAGTGACACTGCCCTAGAGTTTAGTGGCTACAGCACCATGAAAAACAGCCCTCAAGTTAAGGAGGAGCTAAGTCCATTTATTTTTCCTTAGGGGGCCCACAATCTTTAAGGCTACTGTGCAGAATACCTCCTCCAGGAAAAACTCCTTGGGGTTTTATATACAGAGATGCTGCTTTGCAGATCTCTAACATCCGGGAAATAAGAAATAAGGAAATGCATGCAGGGAAAACCAGGGTGTTACTGACCACATCTAGGAGGCTAACTCTAGAAGCTCAAGGCATCCAAGCTATCTCAGATAATTAAGCAAGTTAGTTTACTTGGACTGTTTTCTTGAATTTAGACTCCTAGTTAACTTACATGATAGTTTTGTTGTGTATCTGTGCTATACGCATTTGAAAAACGTCCCATTATGCACGTTTCTTTCTGTGCCTAACTACCAATGGAAGTCTGGTTCCAAAATAGGATGCCTGGAGGTGTCCAGTTCTTTCATTGTGGGCAAAATGCTCCATTTACTGAATCTCATTCAATTCTCAAACTCATCCAAGCATTTGAGGAGAGGAGAACTCTGCTTTTAAACAAATGCAGCATCTTAACTAAGTATTTAAATGTAATTATAGTCATAAAACAACAGATAACATTTTTATTCAAATGAATATGCTAATATTTAGTAAAAAATAGTAGTCAATATGACTGTCCTCCTATAGGTAAGCTTTTCATGGTTTGGCCCTCAATATCAGTTTCATTAGGATTAGTGTAAATTCTCATCACTTTAAAAGGCAGTTACACGTTAAATAGCCTTTTTCAGGCACTGCACAGACACTTCATATTCACTGCTTAGCCATTTTTGATTTCGATGCTATACAAAGATATATATTACTACATTACATATAAATTACCATTATATCCATCTTGATTGAGATCTCCAAGGTGCGTGATTGCGCTGCCAAATCTACCAAATACTTCAGCACCGGTCAGAATTTGTGCATCTCGGAAGAGGAAAGCACTTTCTTGCAGGTAGAGATAAACCTGCCCAACTTCTTTAGGCTTGCTTTCAAATTCTCGTTCCATGAAGAGAGGGGCACCAACTAAGATATCATCTAAACTGTAACAGTCAAATGAAAACCAGTGTCACTGAGAGATTGAGTGTAATCAACACAGTTCATGTGTTTGTTAAACAGGAAACTGATAATTATTTCAGTGTCACAGACTAACTGGGGTAAGGCAGCACTTCTGGAGTTCTTCTAGTCCAAACACTTGGTCAAAGCATGGTCAGCTAGGGAAGGCTGCCCAGGGCTGTGCCCACTCCAGTTTTTAATATCTCCATGAACGGAGACTCCACAACCACTCTGGGCAACTGCTTCCAGTGTTTGATCACCCTTGCAGCAAAAACATTTCCTCTTAGGCTTAAATGGAATTTCTTGGACTTCAGTTTATGCCTGCAGTAGACACTGAAAAGCTAATGATCCAGAAGTCAGGAATTTAACTCAGAGGGGATCTGTGTTACTAGAACAAATTCTGTAGATCTATCCTGCTAACAGTGCTAGTGAGAGACAAATGATAGTAAAAAGTCTAGTTTTTAAAAATTATACATCAGTAAGTGAACAACAGAACAAAAATTGGCACTTCCCAGCAGATTTTTGAAGGAATATGTATGAAACACAGGTAGAGCATCAATTAATAGACAATGCCTCATCACTAATTCAAATGATGCTGGCAGACAAAGCCAAAGCTTTATTTCTGAAAACACTTCTTTTGAATATTAGGTACATGAGTAGTTGCAGTGCTCAGGTAATTTACTGTATAAAGTATTGAAGAGAAAGGACATCATAAAATTACAGAAATATAAGGTTTAGAGGGAAAAGTCCTTCTGTCCATTTTGCTACTCCAAGAAGAAGTGATAAAAGAAGACAGACTAATCAAGGGATATTTTGCATGCTGTTGTTCTAAATGGGGATGTTTTGAAACCTGCTACCAACATTTATTTAGTGGGAAAATAAGACCCTTTACCAGACAGTAAAGAATAAAATCAAGCAAAATTGATAGACGTGTAGCAAGCAGAAATATTCTTAATATCTTATTCTGAGATATGAAATGATAGTATAAGATTAATTTCTGAAGGTTGCTCAAGGCCGCATAAACTAATAGGACAATTCCCATTATATTCATTATATTAGTACTACTTGATCCCAGAATTTTTAGTTTGTAAAACATATTCTCTTGCTGTAACATAAAACTTTGTTCAAACTTTGTAAAACTTGTAGAAAACCTTCTACTCTTAATTCATCATATTCCCAATAGTGATGTTTTCACAAAGGTTTTATCCATTAGTAAACCAAATCGTACAATTGCACTACATTGTTTTTCCCAATCCTGATTGATAGAAAAAACACCATATGATTTAGGAGTAGCTCAGCTACTACTTTACCATAGACATATACTATGGTTCTAAGATATATATCATAGAATTTAGTACAGAATATCTCATCTAGAAGCCTTTAATCACATTGTACAACTTACACATTCTATAAATTGTGACAAAATACTTCTAGAAATGTTATTTTTCTATTAAGTTTTATAGTATGTTTCCATAAAGGAAACTGTAACTCAAAATGTCAGGTCACTTTGATACAGTTATTCTATTCTTTATATGTCGGATTTTACCTCATGGCATGAATAACTAAAAAAAAGGAAGGAAGCAGATGCTGACTTGACATCAAAGGTGGGATTTTCCTTCCACACTAAACATCAAAAGTCCTCCTCTACTAATGGAAGATGTTAGTGGGTGGGATAGAAGGTCAGCTGAAACAGTTGCCATGAAACAATAGCATCATGAATGCTCTTTTTTTTACAAGTTTTTTTACGTATGCCATGTTCTAAAAACATTACGCAGTAGCACTATCATCAATTATTATTTTATTACATCACAGTCCAGATATTCTGGGACCCCGTGGTGTTGTGTGCTGTATAAAACATTAAGCAAAAGATGAGCTTGGCTCCAATGAATATTTTACAGATGAAGGATTGTAAGACTAAGGGAAGATTTTTTTTAGACATGGTAAGGAACCAAAGGATTGAGAGCCAGGAAGCTCCCAGTACCTCGATGTAAAATAGGTAGATACCTAGATACCTGTGAAACTCTGGTCCACAGAGCAATATCCAGAGTGCCTAAAATAGTGAAAGGAGAGAGGCAGACTGACTATCATCCACAGTGGCCTAAAATTCTCTAAGCAGAAGCCTAACCCATAATAGAAGATTCACCAGGTGAGACAGAGAGCAAGCAGACAGGAGCTGGAGTCTGTTGTGTAGGGATCACAGCATCGAAGCTGGAAGTGCACAGTGCCAGGTTATTTTCCTAGGAAAATTTCTACTTTGTTAAAATAAATGGCAATGATTGTATAAAATGCATGAATAGTTCAGGGAGCAGGGACCAGAACCCAGCAGCTAAGATGGCTCATTTTCTGATGTGCTGAGGAAAGATGGGAGGAAGGCAGTCATCTAAACTACACTGACCTATCTCTAAACTGATTATGGCCAGCAGAGCTATCTGGAACATCTGCAGCACTTAGTTTGCCTTCCTTCCAGGCCTTGGCACGTCCCACCCACACCAAAGCCTTCCTCTCCTCACACACTTGCTTTTCCCACTTCTCTGACAGTGCTGAGCTGTCAGTCCAGGTAAGCTGCTTCAGCAAGTCCCCAGCAAGAAGGAATTCTCCCTCAGGCAATTCCAGGGTTTTGGGGTGGGCTTTTTTTTCTGCCTTTTTTTTTTTTTTTTTTCTTCACTGTCACAGCAGTGTACTATAGCCAGATAGGAAAGATTCTTCAGCTACCCTGCTCTCTCTGATCCTCATTTCTTTATTTCTGGTTTCTCTCCAAGTGGGTAATAAGCAAAAAATTGCTGTTTACCATGCTTTATAGTCAGTTTTACCTTCCAGCTCCTACAGTTTAAGTATTTAGACATCAGTCAAGAGTAGTCACTTGTTGGGTTATAAGCACCTATGTGATTAGAATTATTCGGGGGTTTTTGTCAAGGAGGATATTTCAACTGGTTTTTAAATTTTAGGAGTTTATATTTACAAAATTGGAGTTCTGAGCCCAATTCAGGTTGATGTGATCTCTTTTAAAAGGCCATAAAAGCAATGCAAAAGCCCCTGGATAGTAATATTAAATCATGAAGTGCAGTTCAGTGTGCAGTGGTATTTTGAACTGGTTCGTTAGATTTATTTCATTACTGCACTAAGATGTTGCAGTTAACATAAACTGTACATTTATTTTTGTTTCAGCACAGAAAGGTAACTAGCCAGTATTGCTTCCCCTCTCATAAAAAAATCTTTAAAAAACACAAGCTGACCACCTGCTGAGACCATATGCAGTTTCTTTGTATCCTGCTGAGTAATAAAAAGCAAGAGAATAGGAAATGTCAAGAGGTCAAAGTATAACTATGGGAAGCTTTGATATGGCCCAAATAAAAGACCAGTAAACAGTTTATTTCACTATTTTTATTGGACTGTTTCAGTCCAAATTGAAAGTGTTCTCTTTCTTCCTTTTTACTAGGAATATAATCTGTAAGTTGATGGTAACACTTGATAAGTTTCATTGTGGCTTTCTCATTACTAACAGTAGGCAACTAAACTGTAGTTCAAACAATATCCTCAGCTTCCCTGTTCTGCCTACAATCCTGATGTGGTGCAAATATAACTGCAAGAGTCACCCTGGAACACTTGTAGAACTGCTGGAGTAGAGGTCCACAGAGCTTTTTTCCTAGGATGAATCTAACCTTTGAGCCACGTCTTCAGTCTTATCACAACAGAGCATCATTTCTATTAATCTTTTCAGCAAATAATCAGGTTTCTCATAGTGATAAAGTGATCCCTACCTCCTTTATCCTTAGCTGCACAAAAACCCCAGGTGAGTTTGAAGTGGTCATTTCCCTTTTGCTTCCCCCCCCCCCCCCCCCCCGTCACTCTCCTTCCATGT